CGGCGGGGCACTTGGAGCCTCCCTTTGTAGGGATGACCACGGGTCGTTTGCACGCGAATTGCGGCCCATGGGGGCGCGGCGGGACCACGGCGGGCCGCGGCCGATAGCACGTCGGATTGCCGTCGAAGCGCGCGGCGCGATTGTTAGGGCGCAGGGCCGCGATGGGCGCAGGCGCGAAGTGGCAGAATGCTCGCGGCCATATTGGGTCGCCCATTGCGGGCGCTTGGAGCTCGCAGCGCGCTGGTGGCGTCGGCCCTTGATAGCGGTCTGATTTTACTCGCTCTGCACCCGACCATTGGTTGAAGAGATAGCGTTCGCACTGGGATGGTTCTTCCAGCTGGGCTCGACGTGGTCGGGTCGTCGGTGGCTGACTGGGGACGCGGCATGCATTCTGCGCTCGTCGAAAATGAATGTCGCCCATGGTGGGCGCGGGGTCGATACACCTGAGGCGCGCAATGAGTCTGCTACGCAATTGGTGAGCGAGAAGAGCTCAGATCCCATGGAGCCGTTGTGGTTGTAGTCGGTCATGGTGCTGAAAATATGCGCGGTGTTCGTGGTCGGGGTCTTCGTACTTGATATGTGTGCAAATGGCGTAGCAATGGTCCATCTGGAATGTGTTTTAGGCTGCGCGTTGTGGTAGTCGATATTGCAAATGGTATCCGTGAGGCTATTTTTCCGTGCCGTCTTCGTTGTAGTATTGTATATGAGCCGCACTCTGTCGTGGTCGACGTCGTCGTTGAGTTCTTGCCACGTCATGACGATAAGTGGGACTCTTCTTGTATGTCGAGGGGGGACCTCCTCGTCATTGAACGCCTTTTGTCTGGTCGGTAGTCGGCATTTCTGCAGAACGGTAGATGAGCGGGCAGTTGTGACTAGTGTGTCTCGACGTTGGTGTGGGAGCCGTAATATTTCCATATGTTCAAAGCCCTTTGTGTAGCCTTTCTTGACGTAGGAAGAAACATGACTTGCTGATGTCAGGTACGTAAGCTATCGTGACGTGCGTCTCCCTCTTGGCCTTCGCCCTGCCCTTCTTGGTGGGCGCTGGTATGTCTTCGTGGCCAAGGTGTAGGGAGATGTAGACGCAGTACTTGCCGATGATGTTATCGGTGATTGTGTCCTGCTTACCTACTTCGACCTGTACAAGCAACAGTTGTGTGTTGTCCGGGTCGAAACTAGTGGGCGTGGCTGTACGAAGTAAGTCCCGTCGTTGCGGTTTGCTGCGAGTCTTGAATAGTGGTGGTAGGACGTCGGTGCCTCCGTCGGCGTACTTGTCCAAGTTTCGCTTGCACTGTGATTCGATCATAATACTAGCCGGCCGATCTGCGGTTGATCGGGAGTTTCTGTATATAGAAGAAGGTGCGTGCGCTTGTTGGCGAGGGTGAGGATAAGGCTCCTCCTCCTCCTCCTCCTCCTCCATCCTTCTCTTGCCTCCGTCTGTCCTCCACCCCACAGCTCCATCATCTTCTCCTCCTCCTCCTCCTCCTCCTCCTCCTCCTCCTCCTCCTCCTCCTCCTCCTCCTCCTCCTCCTCCTCCTCCTCCTCCTCCTCCTCCTCCTCCACTCCTCCTCCTCCTCCTGCCTCCTCCGTCTGTCCTCCTCCACCCCACAGCTCCATCATCTTCTCCTCCTCCTCCTCCTCCTCCTCCTCCTCCTCCTCCTCCTCCTCCTCCTCCTCCTCCTCCTCCTCCTCCTCCTCCTCCTCCTCCTCCTCCTCCTCCTCCTCCTCCTCCTCCTCCTCCTCCTCCTCCTCCTCCTCCTCCTCCTCCTCCTCCTCCTCCTCCTCCTCCTCCTCCTCCTCCTCCTCCTCCTCCTCCTCCTCCTCCTCCTCCTCCTCCTCCTCCTCATTCCTCCTCTGGGCACCTCCCCCGGGGCGCGGATCCACCGGATCTGTCCGGATCTGTCCGGAAACGGTGCCGGAGGCCGCTCTGGGCTCCTCTGGGCACCTCCCCCGGGGCCGGTTTTGTGAGGATGTCTCAAGCGAGGGCGCCGGTTTGGGATTCGTCGGATCCAGGGATCCAGCCGGATCCACCGGATCTGTCCGGAAACGGTGCCGGAGGCCGCTCTGGGCTCCATGGGCACCTCCCCCGGGGCCGGTTTGGGATTCGTCGGCGGATCCACCGGATCCAGCGGATCTGTCCGGAAACGGTGCCGGAGGCCGCTCTGGGCTCCTCTGGGCACCTCCCCCGGGGCCGGTTTTGTGAGGATGTCTCAAGCGAGGGCGCCGGTTTGGGATTCGTCACCGGATCCACCGGATCTGTCCGGAAACGGTGCCGGAGGCCGCTCTGGGCTCCTCTGGGCACCTCCCCCGGGGCCGGTTTTGTGAGGATGTCTCAAGCGAGGGCGCCGGTTTGGGATTCGTCACCGGATCCAGCGGATCTGTCCGGAAACGGTGCCGGAGGCCGCTCTGGGCTCCTCTGGGCACCTCCCCCGGGGCCGGTTTTGTGAGGATGTCTCAAGCGAGGGCGCCGGTTTGGGATTCGTCACCGGATCCACGGATCCACCGGATCTGTCCGGAAACGGTGCCGGAGGCCGCTCTGGGCTCCTCTGGGCACCTCCCCCGGGGCCGGTTTTGTGAGGATGTCTCAAGCGAGGGCGCCGGTTTGGGATTCGTCATCCACGGATCCACCGGATCTGTCCGGAAACGGTGCCGGAGGCCGCTCTGGGCTCCTCTGGGCACCTCCCCCGGGGCCGGTTTTGTGAGGATGTCTCAAGCGAGGGCGCCGGTTTGGGATTCGTCGGCGGATCCACCGGATCTGTCCGGAAACGGTGCCGGAGGCCGCTCTGGGCTCCTCTGGGCACCTCCCCCGGGGCCGGTTTTGTGAGGATGTCTCAAGCGAGGGCGCCGGTTTGGGATTCGTCGGGATCCACCGGATCTGTCCGGAAACGGTGCCGGAGGCCGCTCTGGGCTCCTCTGGGCACCTCCCCCGGGGCCGGTTTTGTGAGGATGTCTCAAGCGAGGGCGCCGGTTTGGGATTCGTCGGCGGATCCACGGTCCGGATCTGTCACCGGAGGATGTCCAGCGGGATTCCGGCGGATCCACCGGATCTGTCCGGAAACGGTGCCGGAGGCCGCTCTGGGCTCCTCTGGGCACCTCCCCCGGGGCCGGTTTTGTGAGGATGTCTCAAGCGAGGGCGCTGGGTTTGGGATTCGTCGGCGGATCCACCGGGATCTGTCCGGAAACGGTGCCGGAGGCCGCTCTGGGCTCCTCTGGGCACCTCCCCCGGGGCCGGTTTTGTGAGGATGTCTCAAGCGAGGGCGCCGGTTTGGGATTCGTCGGCGGATCCACCGGATCCACCGGATCTGTCCGGAAACGGTGCCGGAGGCCGCTCTGGGCTCCTCTGGGCACCTCCCCCGGGGCCGGTTTTGTGAGGATGTCTCAAGCGAGGGCGCCGGTTTGGGATTCGTCACCGGATCCAGCGGATCGGATCTGTCCGGAAACGGTGCCGGAGGCCGCTCTGGGCTCCTCTGGGCACCGCCCCCGGGGCCGGTTTTGTGAGGATGTCTCAAGCGAGGGCGCCGGTTTGGGATTCGTCGGCGGATCCACCGGATCCACCGGATCTGTCCGGAAACGGTGCCGGAGGCCGCTCTGGGCTCCTCTGGGCACCTCCCCCGGGGCCGGTTTTGTGAGGATGTCTCAAGCGAGGGCGCCGGTTTGGGATTCGTCGGCGGATCCACCGGATCCACCGGATCTGTCCGGAAACGGTGCCGGAGGCCGCTCTGGGCTCCTCTGGGCACCTCCCCCGGGGCCGGTTTTGTGAGGATGTCTCAAGCGAGGGCGCCGGTTTGGGATTCGTCGGCGGATCCACCGGATCTGTCCGGAAACGGTGCCGGAGGCCGCTCTGGGCTCCTCTGCTCCCCGCGCCGGGGGTGAGGATGACGGTAGTTCCACAGAAACTCCCTCAAATTACGTTCCTTCGTGATCAGGTCGTCCGATGTGAGCGAAGACGTCATATGTATGCCTATCGATGGGAGGTGAGGTAATCTCGTAATTAACTGTAGCCCGCTGGTCGACGTGCACCGGAAAGGTCTTCCTCCTCCTCCTTCTCCTCCTCCTCCTCCTCCTCATCCTTCTCCTCCTCCATACTCTTTCTCCGGTTCCTGTTCCTGCTCCTAACTGCTCCTCTGGGTCTTGCTGCTGCTCCTCCTGCTGCTGCTGCTGCTGCTCCTCTGATTCGTTGTTCGTCCTCCTCCTCCTCCTGTTTCTCCTCCTCCTCCTCCTCCTCTTCCTCCTCCTCCTCCGCTCACCCAGGCACTGCTCCCCTGAGCAGTAGATGCAGTCTCGTTATTATTGTGTGCTATCCTCTCTCTCTCTTTCTCTCTGTCCCTCCCTCTGACTGTCCCTCTCTCTCTCTCTGTCTCTCGCTGTCTCTCTCTCTCTCTCTCTCTCTCGCTCTCTCCCCCTCTCTCGTGTTCGCGCCATCCTCTCCACTCCCTTGTCGTCGTCATGTCGTCGTCCTTCTCCTTCCCTCTCTCTCATCCCTCCCCCATCTGGCCTCGGCGGGGAGACTCATCGAGAGATGGGGGAGCGCGTTCTGTGGCCGCTGGGAAGAGCGGGCGGGGTCGAACCCGGGACCTCCTCCCCTGAATTGCAAGGGGGGGGTCGAACCACCACCACCCCGCTCAAGAGGGGTGGGGGTTCGGACCAGTGGGGGCCTCCCCCCCTTGATTGAATTGCAAGGGGGGGGTTCGAAGCGGCCCCCCCCTCTCTCAAGGGAGGGGGGTTCGAACCCGAGGACCGGGGGTGGGACTCCCCTCTCTCATTTGTACAAGGGGGGAGTTCGAACCAGCGGGGACCCCCCCTCCCCCCTCTCAAAGGGGGGGGGGTCGACGTGCCCCCCCCCCCCCTGAATTGCACGGGGGGGTGTCGAGTCGGGGGGCGGCCCTTCCCTGCAACCGACGACGGCGAGCGCCAGCGCCGGCGCTGGCGCCGTCGGGCAGCGACAACGACGACGACGACGACGACGACGACGACGACGACGACGACGACGACGGGTCGGGCGCCTTGGTCAGGTGCACGCTCGGCGGGTGCCACGGCGCCCACAGCAGCAGCGCGGTCAAGCCCTCGAGGGAGCACCGCGCGCACAGGGACTCCTCCTACTCCTCCTCCTCCCCCCTCCTGAACCTCCTCCTCCACCTGAACCTCCTCCTCCACCCCTCCTCTCCCTCCTCCTCCTCCTCCTCCTCCTCCTCCTCCTTCTCCTCCTCCTGGTCCTCATCCTCCCGCTCGTCCTTGTCCTCCTCGTCCCCGTCCTCGTCCTCGTCCTCCTCTTCCTTCTCCTCCTCCTCCTCCACCATCCCTTCTGCTTATAGACAACCTTATATATATAAAAAAAAAAAAAAAAAAAAAAAAAAAAAAAAAACTTCTCCATGTTTCACCACGAGGCCAGTTATTAGGGCGGGCCGGGCGTTTCGCCTGAGACTTCCTCACCACTTCTGGTTCTGAAGCGAAAGCATTGGCAACAGCTTCACAGATGGAGGGCGGGCCGTTTTCAAAATGTGGCTCTCGCGTTCTCGCGGTGCACATTCGTTTCAAAAAAATGACAAAAGTTTCACGGATTGAGGGCGGGTCGTTTTCACAATGTGGCTCTCGCCTTAGCTCGGCGCACACTTGTTTTACAAAATTGCAAGAGCTTCACGGATTGAGGGCGGGTCGTTTTCACAATGTGGCTCTCGCCTTAGCGCGGTGCACACTTATTGAAAAAATGCAAGAGCTTCACGGATTGAGGGCGGGTCGTTTTTTTAATGTGGCCGTCAGTGGCCTGCAGGAGACGATATTGCTGGATGAGCTTTTGGCATCCGTGCCAAACGGATGGGCTCCTCGGCCACGGGGACGAGCGGGTAGACCCAACTATTTCGCGACTACAACTCGGTTGGTTTCATGGCTTCGGAGATTGTTGGTAGATATTTCACATTCGTCTCGCACTATGCAGTCGTCTCGACTACGCACTATGGACTTGAATGACGGCATCGGCCTTGTTTGCTCCGACGGCCGCTGGCAGTCATGCGACACCACAGTTATTCCTTCGCACCTGGCCACACAGGGAGAATATATTGGGCGGGGCTGGGCAGTTGGTTAGAGAGCTGATGGAGTTCGGCATCGTGGTGTCGGGTGTGCGGGATCGAGTCGAGGATACGTGGTTCGGCCAGGACGGTATTTCCAGTCGAGTTGACTAAATCTTCGGTCCTGCTGCAGCTCAGAGTCTGATTAACACTTCTGGGCCTCTGATGAGAGTCCTGCGATAGCACCAGCGTATACCTCCTCGGCATCCCAGAGATCATACACCGTTGCACTGCAACCTGAAGTGGTCGTTTGTCGAACCTGAACAACTGGAGAGGTCGAGGACACATTGGAATTGTGACACTATGAAGGATGCATCCATGCGCGAGCATTTTTCTCAATCGCACCGCAGTCCAGCTTCAGGAGCGGTCTGATGATCGTGCTGCGGCCGATACGTCTGGGCGGCCAGATGCCTATGTTTCTATCTTGAATGCCATTGTCAAAGAGCAGGCCAGTGCACTATTCAGTGGATCGCTACCAAATGCCTCAGAGGCCTACCGAGAGCACGCCAAGGCACGCAAAGTTCTTCTTCGTCTTCTTCGTGTTCTTCTTCTTCGGCGGCTCGAGGTTCGCAGGCGCCTTGCACAGACAGAGTGTGATTCGGAGGAGGAGGAGGAGGAGGTGATTAAGGAACTCAAGTTAGTCAGCAAGCAGTGGCCGCAGCAGCGAAAGCAGCAATTCAAGGAGTGGAGGGAAAATATCACGGAGGAGTTGGAGGAAGCGTGGCGAAAAGGGAATCACAAAGAAGCCCATCGCTTAATTCGAGTACTTGCCTGCAGGGGTCGCGGACCCCGTGGTCGTAGCTTCCGCCATCTAGAAGGTGCTTCTCTTAGCGGTCAAGAATGGCTTGATGTTTGGGAGAAAGAGGGACCACAAGGAGGCATGGAGGTTACTGAGGTGAATCAGGCGGAGGAGGAGTTCGAAGAAGGGGCGTCTGGGAGTTTGAAAATGTTCAGCGTTGGAGCTGCTGCAGATTTTCGTCTATCGCTCAGTATTTACGTCATGCGCCCAAGCGGCGATCGTGTCCGCCCTGGAGTGTACCAGCAGAGGTCTGGAGCATGATCGCGGACCCGCCGTCTTTCGGTTGATCTAGGAGTTACTCAGGAGTTGGAAACTCCGTTGTTCTTCAGCCTGAACCGTTGCAGGAGGCGCTTGCTCGTGGATTGCAATGTATTCGCCTGGCCAACAGATTTCCGTCTCTGTGGAATAGGAGCTTTGGCTGTGCCCTACCCAAGAGTGCGGCTCCAGGCCCCAAGGGCAAGAGAGTCATCCACCTGCTTGACCCGCTGGGCAAGGCTCGGCTCGCTGGGGCTATTCGTCGTAATCGGCCGCCCGCCTTAGGTCCCAACGGCTATGGGTTCAGCAGGGGGAGAAGGAAGGAGGGGGGCGTGCTTGTTATTATGTTGGTTTCTCATCGTCTGCGACGCGGAGGGTATAGTTTTACGTGGCCTAACAAAGACCTCAGCAACGCGTTTCCGAGTGCTGCCTGGAGCCTCTTGGAAGAAGCGAATGATGTTCTACTCGATGTTCCTGATCGTCAGTTTGGCCGCGATCGTTAGGATTCTGCATCGATATGTCTTCCAGCTCGAGATCGTGCGCTCGTCGTTAAACTTAGATGTGGGGCACTCATGGGAGGTCCGTATGCGGTTGAGAGCGTTGGCAGAGCTTATGAGATCCCTGTATGTGAGTGGAGTGAAGTATTACACGCCCAGATGCAATCGGAGGCCCTTTTGGCAGCTGCGTGCCCTATTACAGGCACAATGGTAGATTTGAAGCTCACTAAGGATGCTGACGACCTCTTCAAGCTGCACATAGGAGGCGGCCCCAACGCCGAACAAGGTGACGCGGGATTGGCAGAGCTTTCTGCCGCCAATTCTTACTCCACTCAAGTTCTGGATGGGGTTCTTAAGTTGGGGGGATGGGCACAGAATAGGAGCAAGCAGAACACTATTGTCTGTCTCTCTGGCCAGGGCTCAGTGGCTGTTAATCGCCGTCTACATGCTTCTGCGTCTGAGTTTTTTGAAGGAGCAGTCACTCCGTCGATGACGGTGCTGCGAGGGCAAGTTCATGCTATGGGCTCGATCACTCCGGAGGTTAACAAGCGCCTGAACGCAATCAAGAGTTCGTTTCGTTCCTTGGGAAAGTTCTGGTCGACTCCAGGTATTTCATATCGTTTAAAAAGATTGTTCTGATGGGTATTAAGAATGCTGGGGTTCAGATCTAGAGGCCTACGTGGTGACGGAGGGATTATGTAAGAAATTTGATTCTCTGATGGTAAGATATTGTAGAGTGGCTATGAAGGGGGCTAGTTTCGAGGGCACCGCACACGTTCGGAGTCTCAGCAACGAACAGGTGCTCAACCATTGGCGTCTCACACCGGCCTACCTCGAGCTCAGGGTCCGTCGGCTGGGTTGGCTTGTACAGTTCATTCGCTATCCCGCTCGACATGCACAGATACTTACAGCGTTGTTTGCTGAACTGCCATTTGATGACCGAGCGCAGTATGACACCATAGGTCGTCTCACAGCCTATTCCAACACATGGGCGAAGCAGTTGTTTGACGATGTACAGGCACTGGAGGATATCAGGGACGGTCGTGATTTGCTCGAGCGCCTTCAAGGCTCCTTCCTGGCACTCTGGTGGGACAAGGTGCTTGGAAAAAACGTTATGTAAGATCGACTTCTCCCAACTACGACGTCGTCGTCATACGGTCGAAATACCTCCTCCTAACATCAACTTAGTACTATGCTATCTACTGAAGTCGTCCAGGGAGGTGCTGTAAAATGAGTATGTGGGGTTTACGGACATAGCTGCGATCCTGGTGATATTGTCGGTCGTCGAGTTCGGTGCGATGCGAAATTCCCCGAAACGAAGTCTGCACTAAGTCACTTACGAGTTCACCATCATTATATTGCCTTGGGGCACGTCTTCTGCAGAACTAACGAATGTCCTAACTGTCGTGGGCTGGTCGCAGGGGTGATTACGGCTAGCAGGCACCTCGTGGGCTCCATGAATCGGGGATACTGTATCGCTGGGGCTGGTAGGTCTCAGGCGCACCGACTTCTTATCAAGGATTTGGCTTTGGCCTGCCCCCTTTGTGAATATCACGCATCGGACACGGATAATTTTCAGCTACATATCCGTAGTCATCGTCCTCGAGTTCTCGATACTGTCGACTCTACACGTACACGACCCTGTGCACGGCCGCCTTCTGCTCGACTGCACCCAAACGGTGGGACTAATGCGCAACACGGAGCAGTCGGTGCCCAAATGGATGGCTCGTCCAGGCACGGGAGCACAGGACGCCAAGCTGCGTCGACGCGGCGATGGAGCAGGAGGTGGGGCTCAAGAGGGCCGTCAGGCCGTCCTGCACAAGCTGGTGCTCGTCATCGTGCTGGTCAAGCTGGTGCTCACAGACAAGGCGGAGTTGAGGGCGCTCAGCTGCGCGGTCTACGACACGTGGTTGGTTCTATTAGACAGTCGGACAGTACAATGCATGCTCGGGGAGGGCCAGAGTTTCAACGCGGAGGCCCAGCAGCAACGGGAACTACAGAAGAAAGCAGAGAAGGGCGACAAAGAGTTCACGAAGATGACGATGCAAGCCCCACACCTGAGGGCCTTCGCGGCGCTGATTAAGGGAGCCGCCCACGTGGAGAAGCCAGACACCCTTCCCAAGGTGCAGTTCGCGGCGGGGGGGGTACTGGGCGTCGGTCGTGACGAAAGCGGAGGATCCCTTCGTGCTCAGGGAGATCGTGAGGTATTGCAAGGCCAAGCGTCTCAAGACCAAGGGGAAAGACGACAAAGAGATGGACAAGGTGCAGTTCCTGCTGGACCCCAGCGAGCGCGGCAACCAGATCCTCTTCGCGATCCGCCACTGTCTCAAGGCCGAGGGAGGGGAGACGTCGGCGCGGCCCCGCGAGGGGTGCTAGTGAGGGAGGCACAGGGTCTTCCAGACCTTTGCAAGTAGGAGGCTCAGGAGGGTTTAATTGGGCCACCAGTTTGA